AGCAGGACTTCAGGCCCTCCTGCTGCAGGAACCCATGTCCAACAGCAAAGGGGACCCACACTGGTTACGAGGGGTCACCCCAGGCCAAGAGGGTGCATGGGGCGCAAGCACCTACCTTGCCCCAAAGCTGGGCAATGACACAGCTCAAGAGGTCTTACAGGGTAGACCCAGAGGTAGTAGGGCAGGATCTTGGCAGGGCTGCCAGGTGAGATATGGTTCCATAACCAGCTGGAGGGGTCAGGTGGGTTGCAGCCGCCTCAGCACAGCTCCCTCATCACCCTTATCTGGCCCCAAATTCACAGCCTGGCTCCCTGCGTGGCCCAGCCCACGGCAAAGGTGAAGGGCCGAGCCACAGCTCGTCAGTGAGCAAAGTCCAGGGCTGATGCAGGTGCTGTGGGAACACCCAGCTCTGGATGGCAGCTGAGATGGGACAGTGGGCAGTGGTCCCCCAGTGCCAGAGTGCCAGGGCCAGCCTTGGGGTGTAGGAATACACTGCCATGTGCCCACACTTTCCTGTAATTGCCCTAAGTTTAGCTCTGGCAATCGCTGACCAGACAATTTGCATTTCACAGGCCGGCTGGAAACCACACGATTTAGGGACGCGCGTCCCAGCCCTCGCCCGATGCTCCGTATATTCCTCTCCGGGAAAATTAACAGGCACTGGGGTGGGCACAGCCTTGAGAGCCGCCACCACCCCCAGCACAGCAGCTTGCCGAGTGCCACCCACCCCTGTCACTCTAAAAAGGTGGCTCAGGTGCCAGCGGCACCGGGGGATGCGGTTAGCGGCGAGCCGGGCTAATGGCTTGGGATGCAATTCCCCGGCGGTGTGGGAAAGGCCCAGGCCAGCGGCTTCTCCTGGAAGCGGGGCTGGCCCTGGGGACTCCTGCAGCGGGTGCTGGGCTACCCAGCGCGGAGCACCTGGCGCGGGGCCACCGCACGCAGAAGCACACCCTGCACAAGGTGACACACGCACACACACGCACGCAAACGCGAGTGACACCGGGGGCTGCACGGGCGCTGCCAGACAAGAGCGGGCCATGCGCACACCCACACCCGCAACCGGGGGGCGGCACCGAGGGCTCCGCACCCACCCCGCCACCCACCTCCAGTTGTGCAACCGCGGGGGCACGGCGCAGCTCGGCCCGGCCCGGCCCGGCCCGCCGGGGGGGCGATGCCGCCGCGGCCCGCCCCGCGCCGGGCGGTGGTGCCGGTGCGGGCGGCCGGGGCCGGTCCCGGTGGCGTGGCGGCGGGTACTCACCCGGGGCGGCGGCGGAGCGGGGCCCGGTGGCGGCGGCGGCGGTGCCGGGCCCCGGCGGCGGCGCGGGGCGGGGCGGGGCGGGGCGGCCCCGCACCGGGGCGGGCACTGCCGGCTCTGCGCGCGCCGCCCGCCGCGCCGGGCGCGGCTCCGCTCGCCGCGGGGAGAAGCGGAGCGGAGAGGCGGTGCTGCCCACCCGGGAGCCCCGCTGAACCCCCTAGCCCGGCTGTAGCCACCGCACGGACCGGCGCCCGCAGCCCGGCGCGCAGCCGGTATCGCCGCAACCGCCCGCGCACACCGGGGGTGGCCCCGCAGCCCCCCGCAGACGCACAGACGGTGTGTGCGCTCCCCCGGTGTGACTCGGTGACACTCCGTCCATCCCGCACTCCCCGCACTCACACCCCCCGCCCCCCGATACACTCACATGTTGTGAGCTCGCCCTGGTGCTCACGCAGCCCCATCGCACAATGCACACACGCACTCCTGGGGTTCTCCTGTTCGGAAGAATCCCATCAGGAACAGCGCTGGATCCAGGCAGGGAAGGCTCCAGGCTGCCGGCTGGAGCAGGGTGATGGGTGCCTGCTGGCCCCAGTGCACGGAATACAAAGCTGGCCATGGCAGAGCTGGCTGTGGAGCCATTCTGCAGCTTCTCCCGCAGCACCTGTCCCCAGCGAGGGCTGTCACACTGACTGTGAGGACAGTGGCTGCTCTGCCCAGGAGACAGCCCAGGGTTAACAATGAGCATCTCCCAGCACAGCCAGCAGCGAGGGCAGCACAGTCTTTGTTACACCCCTTCCACTGGTGTCCAGCTTTGGGACGTCACGCCGCGGTTGGTCACGTACAGTGAGAATCCTGGGACAGATGATTTCAGGATAAGCTCTGCCATATGAGTGCTGGGACAACCTCCCTTCCTATGGGGTGTGGGAGCAACTGGGCCCAGGGAAGCTGGAGTGGAGCTTTGGGAACAGGGAACCCCGAGAGAGGCATCCACAAGCACTTTCCAAAAGCAATTTTCAGGCAGTGCTCAATCTCTGTTTGGGAAGCTCAGGGAGATTACAGGGACAGTCCCCTGCCCAAGGGGACTCTCTCCAAACCCCTGCTGCAATCCTACCATTGCTGGCTGAGTTGTATGGTCCTGGCTCTCCTACCATCAGGCTGTGAGCCACTCTTGGGACACGCCTGTCTGGGTCTCACAAGCCCCACTCGCTCACAGAGGTAAAGCTGGCTGTGATTTCCAGCCCACAGCCCATGCCCAGGACACGGTCCCACAGCAGCAGCAGAGCAGGACACATGGGGCAGGGCAGAGCAAGCTGGCAGCTCAGCAAGGAGCACTGTGCTGGGCCCCGGCCCGAGGGATGCAGCGGTGGAGGAGATGCAGCCCTTGCAGGGGCGGAGGAAGGCGGCAGCGAGCACAGCCGCCTGCTTTTGTCACACTGTCCTTTGTCCCAGGCACGTGGCACCAAGTGCAGGGAGCCGCAGCCATGCGGAGAGCAGGGATGGGGTCGAGTGATCTGGAAGGGCAGCAGAGCCCGCCTGAGATTTCAGGAGGGTTTTCCAGCTGCGGTGGCGAGGGGACACGCTGTGTGGCTGTACGTCTGCCCTGCTGCCCGTCACAGGCGGGTGAACAGCCACGTACAGCCTGTGGCAGCTCCTGCTTCCTTATCACGCTGGGCAGGTGGTGATGGGCTGATGCCGGTTGGAACTGCCGAGCTGTGGGACAGCACAGGGTCCCCAGAGCCACACAGCCCTGCCACCAGCAGCCACCCACTGGGGCCACTCTCCTGCCGCATCCCCAGAGCTAAACACCCTGTGTTTTCCAGCAAACTGACCAGCTGTTCCTGTCCACATGATCCCATCTGACTTTGTCAGAAACAGGTTGGGTCGCCCTGAGCAGCTCTCCCTGGCAGAGAGTTCCCCAGGCACCAGCAAATCCCACATCCAAGGAAATTCTCTGTGTTGCCCAGGGTTTTCTATGGAGAAGCAGGACAGAGCTCTGGTGCCAGTGGTATTTTGTGTACCCCTGGCAGGCGCACATGGCTGGCCAGGACAAGGGCCTGGAGCCGGGCTGGGAGGAGAAGCATCTGTTTTGCAGCACCGCGGGGTTCCCTAAATAGGTCACTGCATTTTTATAGTCTCTTGGATCTAGAAAAACCAGTTGTTCTGGACAACCTGTGGACCCGCCAGCATCACTGGCTCCCCAGGCACTTGCTGCTGTGCTCCCAGGTCCTTGGTGGGGACACCTGCCCCACCAGCAGGGTGAGGGGTTGGGGGATCTGCAACAGCTTGGGCCATACTGGGGTCCTGTTGTCTGCTGAGAGTGACCCATCCCCAGCCGTGAGCAGAGTTGGGCTGTGCAGGGGGGGCTTTCCCCCCACCTTGCCACTGTTTTGGGGTGGCTGCCAGCTCCAGGCTTTGCTCTGGGGTGTTTTTCAGCCAGAGACGGCTTTCCTGTTGCAAGGGGAGGCAGGTGTCTGTGCGGGGCGCAGAGGGGTGTGCAGTGCCACACACACACCGTACAGCCGCTGGTGACCCATCCTGCTCGGGCTGAGCTCTCCCTCTAGTGGCACCAGGCTCCGGGCAAAGCCTCCACACAGCCGTGACCAGGGCATGTCCGAGGGGCTGGAGTGAGCTCCAAGCTGACCTCTCCCCTCGCCAGGATGCCCCCGGCAGGTGCACAGGGACTGTGCTGGGTAGGCTTCGCAGGAGCATCCCACCACCAACCCCCAACTTTGGCATCCTTGCAGAGGACAGGAGGTTCCGCCCTTCCCCTTCCCTGACCCAAATTTGCTGGGATGTGCTGGTACTGTCAGCTGGCGTGCCAGTGGTGCAGCCGCACGGCTCCGTGTCACAGTGATCCCCCCAGTGACACCGATCCCACCTACCCCCATCCCAGAGATGGGGGGAAGGACCCCACAAACCCCAGCTTCCCCATCAGGACAGCATCCTGCCCACAGCAGGGTCCCCCAGGAGCCCGCTGAGCCCCACCAGGCCTGTCTGGGTGGGTGCCACCTCGCCGTGTGCCCCCACAGGGTCCCCCGGGCCGGGCGCCAGGCCGCGGCGCTGACGGGGCGCTTTGTTTTGTGCGGCCGCGCCTGCCCAGCGGCGAGACAAAAGGGGCAGTCAGACGAGGGCGAGCATTGTGCTGGCAGCCATGCGCTGAGGCAGCAGCCCGCGCCGCCACGCTCGCCTCGTGACCCCCGACGGCCCGGGCTGTGCCCGCCGTGCTGCCCCGGGCTGCAGCGCCCGCCCCACAGGAGCCCCGCAGGACGAGGGGCCTGTGGGGCTGCTGGCTGTGGGGTGACCACAGGGCCGAGGCCTCCCCAAGGCCACGGCGTGTCCACACGTGTCCATGTGTGGGGTTGTGGTGGTGGCAGTGCTGTGTGGAGCCTTGTGGCCGTGGGGACATGCCAGTTCTCACCTCCTTGCCCGTGATGGAGGAGGGTGCCCGTGGCCACAGGGTGACAGGGAACATGCTTTGGCTGGTGAAGTGAAGTGCCTGGTAGACACCCTGCTGTGCCCACCACACGCAGGGTCTCACGGGGAGGTGTCCCCGCTGTCCCCACGGTGCCAACTGGCGCCAGGGCCAGGCCAGCCCCCAGGCTCACCCCGTGACGGCGAGGTGCATTGCCCGTGGAAAATGCCAGCGCGGTCAAATCGTTGAGTCATTTGTGCCCAAGATTATCTGTGCAAACAGCCGCCTCGATTATTTTTTTTTTTTTATTATTATCAAATTTTTTTTCTTTTTCCCTAAGAATGTGGTTCAGACCATGGGGATGAGCAGCTGAAATCTCCGGGGATCAGCAGGACAATGCCAGAGCAAGCATTGTGCTGACGGCTCTGCAAATGCTGGCACCGGTTCCCGGCCAGCAGTACCCTATAAAAGCTGAGCCGCTGAAGTAGGCAAACATTACATGGGCGAAGCAGCAGTACCCGCCTGAGCTAGGTGAGTCCTGGACCGATGCGCACCTCTCCCACCTCACCCCTGTGCTGCCAGACGGCCGGGCAGACACCCTTCCTCCAGCCTGGTGGCAGGAGGGACGCCCAGAGGGACCGTCGCTGTTTTCCGTGGCATAAGACAGGCTCACATGTCCCCACTGGCAGCCGGGGGGGCTGGGAGCCCCTCTGCAGCAGGGCACCCCACTCCTGGCACCCACTGGCACGGCACGCCGGTTGGCATCTCCCACCATTAGCCAGGGCTGTCCATGGGAACCCACCGTGCCTCCCAGGGGACACCGGGCAGGGAGAGGGGATCAGGTGGGTCTGTTGGACACTGCCAGGCACAGGGCAGACCGTGCCCACCGAAGCCCCCTGCTCTGGCTCAGGGGTGTTTTTCCTAGCTGTGGTCTGACCTCAGGGAAGGAGAAAGGGGGATTGGGTGCTATGGCCTGGTGGGTGCACAGGCTCCATGCCACGGCAGGGAGGAGGGAAGGGGCACTGCAGCAGTGAGAAGGGGGCACCTTGCTCTGGATGTGTCCCACAGCCCCCTACCATGTCCCATTCCCCATCCTGGGGCTGGCAAGAGGGTCTTGTGACTGGTGTGGCTGGTCCCCAGCAGTGGGGCAGCTGTTCTCGAACAGGCGCTGTGGGTGGGTGGCACAGAGTGCCCCCAGCCTCGCGAGTGGGCAGCAGGGATGCACAGGGACATGCTGCAGTAAAAATGGCTTTTCCTTCCTTCTCCAGACACCGATCCAGCAGCAAAGATGGCTCAGACAAACCCTCTGCCTGTTCCCATGGGCCCGTGGAAGGTATGATCTCACATTCCCTGTATTTCACCTTTCCCTGTGTGCAGGTAGGGAACAGAAAGAAGGGCAAAGCCCATCCTCCGGGGCCAGGAAAGCTGCACAGCAGGCAGTAACACAGGGACGAGCACAGGAAACAGGCACCCCTGTCCTCTGCCCATGCGAATGTGCCTCCTGCCTGCTCAAATACCTCCCGGGTGTTTTTCATAAGGCTCTCCACAGCACCCCGGGCCAGCTCTTACCAGCCATCCCATGACAGGCAGTTGCAGAACCCCCAAAAGCCACCGGCTGTTGTTTGCCCTCCCCTGTCCGTGCAGACAGGGTGAGCATGGACAGTGGGCACTGCGGAGCAAAGTGGGGAGCAGCCCCAAGGGGTCTGGCAATAGCCCCAGGGCTACTGGCAAGGGAGGGAGCTGAGAGGGAAAGGAGAAACACGTGCACAAGCGAGGAGCATCCCGTCGAAGCCTGGAGCTGTCGCGGGAGAGGAAAGCATCAACCGCAGCCCCCCAGGGAGGTGCCCCTCGCCCCTTCCCCCGTTAATCCTCTTTGCCCTAGAGCGTTCGGAGCAGAGGCCGGGAGAACCGCCAGCCACAGCCCTGCCACCCGCCCGTCCCAGAACGGCTCCGCTCCTCTCTCCGGACGGCAGCGCTGCCCCGGGAACTGATCTCCGCAGGGGTGAGCAGGAGAGCGGAGCGGGGGCCAGCCTGCGGCTCCCCGACACCAAGGCAGGCGTGGCGGGGCCAGCAGTGCAGGGACGCGGAGGCGTGCGGGGCTGTGCCCAGCCCAGAGGGGTGCCCGGTGCAGCCTCCGCTGGCTCTCTCCCTCACCGAGCCTCCCTCCGAGAGGCGCTGAAATGCCTGGGGCCGCTGCTGGGCAGTTTCCAACTCGGCAGCTCGCTCTCCGTTCCAGATCACCGTGTACGACCAAGAAAACTTCCAGGGCAAGAGGATGGAGTTCACTTCGGCCTGTCCGAACATCATGGAATGTGGCTTCGACAACATCCGCTCCCTGAAGGTGGAATGTGGCGCGTGAGTACCCAGCTGCCAGCGGACTGGGTGCTTCCCCAAGCGAGCTGGCTGGAAAAGGGGTGCCCAACTGTCCCCGCTGGAGCCAAGCATCACAGCCAAGGGAAGGCAGGCATGGGGGGATCCCACCGTGCCAGGGTAGAGCAGCCCACCCCAAGCAGCACTGATACAGAGAGAGGGCCAGAGGACAGTGGTAACACCTTTGGCATCACCCAAAAAATGCCTCCTGCAGTGTTGGACCAGTCAGGTTTGGGGCAGGGTTGCTGCCCAAAGATACAGAGAGGGTCAGTGCTCAGTGAGTGGCCTGGCTCAGCCTGGTCCCCGTCCTGAAGCACCTCTTGGCCAAGCCCCAGCCCTGCTCTGTCCTGGGCTTTCCCTGCCACCACACAGCTTCCTAGACCAGGGCAGAACCTTTCCTTCTCCGGTCCTGAGGGGGTAGGGAGCAGAGCTGGGCTTCTCCCTGCTCGTGGGAATCTTCCCTGGCACAGGCAAGGCACCTCCCGAGCAGCTCGGACCAGCACAGTCCCCGCGGTGCGCATCCCACCGGGGCGGGGAGCAGACGAGACAGATTTGTGCTGCTATCTTTAGGACATGTAATGCTAATGGGATTACAGCAGCGTGATCAGCTCCCTGCTCCAGTTGACGTGCTCCTAATCAGGCTGCTCCCCTTGCACAGGGCGGGCTGGCTGCAGGACATGGCACTGGGGCTTGGTTTGGGTCAGTGGCAGAAAACACTTAACCCCCTCAGCATCCTTTGTACCCCATCAGTAGGGGATCTATGCACTGCACAGCCCGTGCCACACACCTTCCAACCCCCAGCCTAGGCTCTTCTCCCTGCTCTGCCTGTGGTTCTGTCCTGTCTCCTTAAGGGGACATCCCCACCCTGGGGACAGGCAGGTGCTCTGTGGGCAGCACCAGGGCTTGCAAAATGTGTCCTGCAGGGTGCAGGCATCCCACTCACCTCTCCTCGTTTGTTTTCAGCAAGAGGGGGAGGCAGCAAGGGGAAAGGCTATAGGCCCCTGCTCTCTGCTCAGAGCCAGATGGGTTCTGCCTGCTTTGGGCATCAGGAATTCAGGTCCAACAGTGTCAGGTTGTAATTGGGAAACAAGTAAGAAATGAGGCCTTTGGGAGAAAAGGCCAGCTGGGGCATCCTGAAGTGATGCTGGTCTGCATAAATGATGACAGAGCAGCCAGGGGGAAGAGCCACCTGTGCAGGATGGGCCCCCAGATCTCCCACTGCAGCCAGGGACGCTCTGTGGGTGCCTCTGCAGCACCAGATAGTTTCCCACTCCCTGGGTTCTCTGCCCACATCCAGCACCGCTTCCTCTCCTCCCAACCTGTGGGCAGAGGCCAGACCCCAACCTCCTCCTTGCACCTACATCCTGCCCTTAATGCCAGCTCCCAGCAGGATGCCCCGAGCTGCTGCAGGAAGCCCTGGCAGCCCTGGCTCTGTTTTTGCAGCTGGGTCGGTTACGAGCACACCGGCTTCTGCGGGCAGCAGTTCATCCTGGAGAGGGGCGAGTACCCACGCTGGGACGCCTGGAGCGGCAGCAACGCCTACCACATCGAGCGCCTGATGTCCTTCCGCCCCGTCTGCTCCGCTGTGAGTGTCCCACGCAGCTCTGATCCCCTTCAAATGCCCCAGGCCACGGCAGGGAGGTTAGGAAAGGAAAACACAGCTACGCCAGGGGCAGGCTCAGCACTTCCCCCTGCAAGCCTAGCAGGATTTGCTCTTTCTCTCCTGTTTTTGAAAGCTTTGGAGGGAATTTCTGGGCAAGCTGTAGATGACTAGAGCTAAGGGACAGCCAGCCTGAAACAGGAGCTGTGTTATAGCTGATAGCTCCCAGCCACCCAGAAAACTCAAACCAACCAGGGTCTGAACATCTTCCTCTCCAGGAACCCTCTGAGTAATGCCATGGGGAGTGACAGCCCTGCCATTCCCACCCACGCTGGGGAGGGAACACCACCTCCCCCTCACCCCCTGCTCTCCCCCACAGAATCACAAGGAATCCAAGATCACCATTTTTGAGAAAGACAACTTCATCGGCCGCCAGTGGGAGATTGCTGACGACTACCCCTCGCTGCAGGCCATGGGCTGGGCCAACAACGAAGTGGGCTCCATGAAGATCCAGTGTGGCGCGTAAGTGACGGAGCACGACGAGGACAGGAACAGCAGGGACAATCTGCTGCCATCACTGTGCCACCGCGGTGGGAGGGGGACGCCCTGTAACCCCCTGCTTACCTCTTTGTCCTCTTCTTCCAGCTGGGTGTGCTACCAATATCCCGGCTACCGTGGCTACCAGTACGTCCTGGAGTTTGACCACCACGGTGGAGACTACAAGCACTGGAGAGAGTGGGGCTCACACGCCCAGACCTCCCAGATCCAATCCATCAGGCGTGTCCAGCAGTAGCTCCCCACTTCCCAGTACATCTCTGCAAGGTTTCCAAAGCTCACCGGCTCCCTCTTGGTGCTAATACTCCCCTCCCAAAATAACCACCCCCTCTCGTACTGCCACTGCTTATGGAACAACACTCCCAAAACGGTACCGACCGCCACAACTGCCAATAAATGTGACTGAAAGAAAAAGATAAATCAGCTTGGTGTGTGCTTGGGACTGAGGTTGCACATCCCCATCCCAGGAACTGGGACCAGACTCTTTCCTACTTATTTTAAGCTGGGCTGAAGCGAGGTGGAGCTCACACTGAGGAAGGTTCAGACACCCACTGTTGAACAAAAACCCTTGTTTTTTTTCCCTCCCTGCCCTCTCCTTCCCCAGACAAAGTAAAGGACACCTGGATCCACCCCCCCAGCATACACACAGCTCATGGGCTCTATAGCCAGCACTGCCAGGCTTCTGTGTTCTAAACCCAGGCTGCTCCCTGAAAATGAAAAAAAGGAAGTCACACTGACACCCGCAAACTTTAAAATTTTTATTCAACAATTTACATCACTTATTGTCTGTCTTAACGTATTCGATCTACACAAATTTCTTTTTTTTTCCTGATAAAATAATAAAATTTGGATAAATTTTGAAGACCTGTTGGTGCAGAATAAACAAAATTTCAGGTAAGGTTTTTTTTTTTTTCTTTTTTTTTTTTTAATATTTTTTTAAACATTTAGTGTGAAGTATGACATCATTGGTAAAGATACATCATGCCATTACAGCTCATGGACATTACCTATCCTTACAGTCCGTGACATCACCCACACCAGCGCAAGGGGCTGCGCCAGACACAGCTACAGCAGGTTTTACACTAAACTCCTCTAGCCACCCTCTCACCACTGGGAAAACGCCTACGCTTTTCCAGCTGGGCACACAGAGTGCATGAACCTAATCAGAAATTACCGGGGAGGGGAGAAGGAAACAAAGACTACCTTTACTGATCCGTGTGGTCGCACACTACAACATCGACACCAAAGAGGGGCTGCCCCTCTCCGCAGGTCAGAGGTAATTCAGCTCCTGAGCAGGTAGAGCACAACCCCTCGCAGCGATTTGAATACAAACCAGGAAGGAAATGAGAACTTATCGATGGGGAAGGGGGGCAGGAGAGGAGACAGAGCCTGCCCGGCTCTGCCCGCAGGGATCTCTCCAGCCCCAGCTCGCAGTTGTTTCGCACCGCCCTTAACACTGAAATATTCAGGGAAGGGGGAGAGAGGGGCATCAGTCCCCCCAGTAAACAAGTTGAGGACCTTCAGCAGCTGGGAAGCTGCTGAAGGTGTCTAAGTACACGTGTGATGGTAGATAGAAAAGCAGCCCTGTTCTGTATGAAAAAAAGCTGTCAAGTTAGTACAAATTTCTGCCATGGCGAAGGGAACAGGAGGAGAAAGCTGTCAGGGTCCTTCTCCCGCCACAAAACCCCAAATCTCCCGCACACAGGCTCTGGGCTAAGCAACATGTTTCCAAAGGTGGTACCTGCAACCCAATGCACCTAACGCATGAAAACGAAACCAAAATAAAGCTCTCACCCCTGAGGCTGGAGGGAACCCAGTCCCCACTCCAGCCTCGCAGCAGGATAGTGAAGAACCCCGTCCCTCCTGCCTCACAGTGGGAACACACAGCAGTAGGATTCCTCTTGGTTCATTTTGTCATTAGAAGCCTCGAGTTTGCCCACGCCACCGGCCCGCAGCGCAGTGGACTGGTCTCCATCCCCTCTCAAAAACTGCTTTGCGTGGGGGCTTCCCTGTCCCCATGGGGACACCAGTGGGTGCCACCACCACGCTCTCCCTGGAGACAAAAAGGGCACTGGGTTCATCCGACAGCACAAAGTGTATCTGAAACACAAGCCAGCACACCCCGCTCCCTCCGATTCAATTACTAAAGTAGGCTCTTTAAAATAAAAAAATAATATATATATTTATATAGCTATACAGAGAGATACAGAGAAAGCAAAGGAGAGAGAAAGGCTACTGAAAAACTCAAGAAGCGCCAGTTTTCTGCTACAGCTGTCAGCAAAGAACTGTCACCTTACATCATACCCTCCGAGATGGTGAAGAGAATGGAGGCAATGACAGCACAGGAATGCAAAAGAGGGCAGATAAGTCACTTCTGGTAATGAGACACAAATTAAACTTTCAAAACATGTGCATAGCTTTATTCATCTGCTTCAAACTAACCTTTTCACGGAGCTTCAGCGAAACTCGAGTGTGCAAAATGCATTTCTAAAAAATAATGCAAGCAAGCTTTCACATTTACTGTGGCAGAAGTACAGAAAGACTCGGACAGAATCATCACACGCTGGGGCGGGAGATGGAGAACCCAGAATTGCACAGCTTGGAGTTCTGAGTCACTGACTGCAAACACAAGCGTTTGGATTTCTTAACTTCAGCAAGGCGTGTTGCCTTCTCCTTTACAAAAAAATCTTGTAAACCCCACAGAAACAAGAACCACAACCTAGCAGGGAATAAATCCCCTGGATAATGGGATCATGGTGCCACAGAGAGCCTGAACTCCAGCAAAGCCGGTTCCAGACCTCGGCTTGTTTTGGCTCTGCAGACAAACCGTGGCAATGCTGATTTTTTGTCCACAGAAGAGCGAAGCAGCTTTTCTTTCTCTCCCTCCCACTCCCCTCTGAAGTCACAGGTGCTGCTGCACAGGACATCATCCCCAAAGTAAGACAGCCACTACACAGGCTGGAGTCCAGGTCTCATTTTGATCCCGAGGGTCACTGGGACACTAAGGAACCCTTGCCTGTGGATGGGGAGTGGCCCTTGCAGCCACGTCCCCAGCCCACACCTCACCACCTCTCTCCAGAAAGACTAAGCACACATGCAAGGCACATTGAGTCAGATGTACACACACACCTCGGTGTGCAAAAGAGCAAACGCTGTCTGAAAAAGAAATAAACGGATGCTGGGAAAACTAACTAAACAGGCAGAAAGCTCTGGCCTATGTATTTGTAGACTATTTTCCAGGCAGTTGTAATCCCCAAGTGTTTTTCCTACACGACTTTAGACCTTCCTTACTCTTCCTCCACTTTGCAGAGAGGTACTTTATATTCCTAGAGGATCTTCTATAAATAGTCAAGTAAAATCCCTTTTTTCCCTCCAGTAAACTCCTCCTCCAAGGTACACATCCCCCTCCATGGTCCAGGTGTGGCCCATAAAGAGAAGAGGTTCTGGACCTGCCTGTGCCTCACGGCAGTGCCTTGATGCAGTGAGACATCACTCCACTGCTCCCTAAGCCTTCTACTGGCAGGTTTTGGCTGGGTGGATGGCTTCACCTGACTTTTTTCTTGGAAAACATCTGAGCCCAGGCACTGAGTGCTCCCCAGGTAGAGAAGGAGCTGGTGGGTCGCCAGCACTGGGATAAGGGCAGGACAAGAGGCCATGCAATCCTTAATACTGCTGGTTAACTTCACATTGAGATAAAGCATTCAAAAGATCTTTTTTTAGAGATGAGCAATTTCCTTCTATAGATAAATTCAAATAGAAAACAAATATATTGAAACCAGAGATGAGACAAGAGCTGACTGAGGTTCTTCTACCTTACAAGTTACTCAGGCACCTTTCCTGCACCACCAGCCATGGAGGAAGAAGCTGAAAACCTCAGGGATTTGCACTACCCTTCCAATAGCAGCTTGAGAAAAGGAAGGAGAGAAAAAGAAAAAAAAAAAAAAAAACCAAAAGAAATAATAAAAATTTAAAAAGCACAGTGTTCTCTCAAGTTAAAGAGTTCTCCTTTGCTTGCGTTTGCATAGAAATTCCCATAGGTCAGCACCAAAATCAGGTCCACCCCTGTCCTACACCCCAGCTCTCCCCCAGTTCCTACGCTCCCCCAGTTAGTGGCTGTGTTACAGGAGGGTTCAGCTATCTGCAGAGGAACTACATGGTCATATTAAAAAAAAAAAAAACCAAAACAACAAAAACGAAAAACAAAAGTGCATCACACATTCTTGATTTTCAGGGTTACTTATAGCAGCAGCATCAGCATTAATCCAAGACAATGAACAGTTGTAGATTCGTTCTTAAATGCAGCAACACTTAATGAAATGTCTTCGGGGAAGGGCATAAGAGGGTCCTTCTCAAAAATGAAAATTAGACTATTCAATATGGACAAAAAGGAGATAAAAATTAAAGACACAATCTTATTTACATTAAAAAAAAACATTCTTGTTAAAATATCTTTACAACACCTAAGCAAAAAAATATGTATTTTAAGAATAAAGCAGAAACTCCTAAAGCAGTATCCATTTTTGGAACCCTTATTTAGCACCTGAGGAAAGACCGTATGGAAAGCAGACAGGCTGGGGATTTTTTTTTTTTTTTTTTTTTTTTTAAGAAAAATGTAAGTTGTATTTTTGCTAAATGTTCAGAAGATCATAGTACACAAGTTTCATACCACAGAAAGAAATGAGCACATTTTTTTGTTTGTTTGTTTTCTCCTTTTAAAGATCTTCTACTCTTTAATAAGGCTGTAGAAAAGGGACACTGCTATCTTACAAAATGGCTTTAGAGCTCTGGACACTATGAAGCTCTGGACACGTTGTATGAAGCTTTCTGATTAACAGTCAAAATAAATCCAGCTCAGCATCCCCTGGTGAGGGCACAGGCAGGACTCTTGCTCCAGTCCCAGCACAGGGAGTGGGCTCATGCCCAGGACACGAGGCCACCACAGGGATCTTTCATCTCCCCAGACATCCACAGCTCCACTCTCCTGCTGCTTTAGAGGACCTGGGGCAGGACAGAGGAGCCAGCCTGATCCTGGGGTATAACATGTACTGGGCAAACCTCTGAAGCTCTGTAATCCCTGGAAGGCAGCACATGGAGATCTCCTTCCCACCAGCCCTGGTTCCTGCTTCCCAGCTGTGTGCACTAGGGTTTTCCCACATGGAAAAACACTCTGGTGGTGCCCAATGCCAGAATTACTCTGGCTTTCTTGGCTACTCCACCACACCAGCCCTTCTCCTGCCTTACACACCAGTGTGAAAACGTGCAGCAGCTTTAAAGTGGGTGAATCCTTGTTCTCTCCCCTCCCGACCTCAACCAGCTCCCTTGTAAACAGCCTCTGTAAGAAAAACAAATCACTGTGGATGGACGGACAGAAAAGTCTTCTAGGGATGAGAGGGTCAGACTCCTGAAAGCTTGGGACACCATAGCAATTTACTGAATCAAGATCAAAACCTGGACACACAGGAAAACAATCAGCGGTTCTGGCTGTGAACGCCATCACTCCCAGATGTCCCTGAGGTCACCCACTGGCCACTTGGGAAAGGACACTATGGTGTTATTGTAACACTCCCTTGAAGGTGAAAGCACTAATTACACACACAGCTGGGAGCACAACTTCCAGCTCTTTTTTTCCCCTATTTTTTTTTCCTAGCAAGAAGCAATTTTCCTTTCCATTTAGCTAGCTGGTTCACCCATCACCCGCTCCCAGCCACCGGACTCACAAGCTAGTGAGAATTGGGTTTCTTTCCACGTTTCAAAGAAGTTCACAGCAGCTACGAAAGGCAAAAAGTGGGATTTACTAGCTCAGAAAGGTTTGAAGTGGGTTGGTGACAGAATCCAAGCCCTGGAGGTACCCACTGCTCAGAGGCAGAGGATTTCTACCAGGTTTCACAGAGCACTGAGGTGGCCTTAAACCAAAACCAAACTCCAAGCAAAGCTTGAAAGCCATTGCTTTGCCAATCCACCAAATGGGTGGAGTGGGAGAGAGCAGAGACTGAAGGTCCCAGAGCACTGTCATGGAGCAGTTGTGAAAGCACCTCTTGGAGCACACAAACACTCCACGATCCACCAAAAAAAAGCAAGCAGATGCCAAGCTGGAGCTGGCTGGCAATCCATGCTCCAGTCTCTGTTACACAAGACCCTGTACGAGAGACACCCAAAAGAACTTGCTGGCAGAGGAGAGGTGGGGAATGACCAGAGGAGAAAGGAGACAGCCCCTGCCTGTGCAGGAATCCTCACTCCAATAAACAGACAGCTTGGAAAGGGAACCAGACAAGAGGGACTCACAATGGGAACAGAAACAAGAGAGAAGCCTTAACCTGAATTAGTATCTTCATAGCTAATAAAAAAATAGGTCATGATCTCACCCTTAGTGCCGCTTTCTGATACTAGACGTACTGAAGGGGTTTTGTTTTAAAACTTTCTTTACTCAGTGTAATGGAAACAATGGCACAAATAAATACACGCTCGCTCTCCTCACAAGTCAGATGCTCGCACACGCGCCGCCGGCTCCTCGCCCCCACAGACACCCTTGGGTGCACACCCAGGACAGGAGGCTGCTGCTCCCCTTCCCAGGCTGTATTTGGTTTATGCTACAGTACTAATACTCTGAGTCAAACAAAACAAAACATGAGACTTATCAGTAACACCTTATCGTTATTTCAATGTGCTAAATTAGTCACAGCTCAATTTCAGTTTGTTTTTTTTTTCCTTTTTTTCTTTTTTTTTTTTATAAGTTTACACAAAAATAATCAGAAAACAGATTAAATCTTAAGATATTTTTAATAAGTGCTCAGTTAAGAATTGTGTGAGGACTTGGGGAGGACTGCAGACAGCGACAGGGTGAGTTACACGACAGCACGAGGAAGTTCCTTCCATGGTCCTGCCTGGCTCTAGGCAATAGTCTATCCCAGAAATACCAGGGAGCCGGAGCTACAGGAGCTCAGAGAGAGGAATTCCTAACTGCTTAGCGCTGAGCACACGCCGTGGAGCTCATGGAGACAGACAGACAGACAGACATCTGGACAGAGGATGGTCAGAAATACAGCAGAGAAGGTGCTGCCGAGGGTGTTTCTGGATGGGTCCCGCTGGCGAGGCAAAGCCACAGAGATGAGCATCAGGGGAATCCAGCCCAACCCATGGCGTGAACCGAGCTCCTCTCAGCATTTCTTTTGCTATTCAGGTGAGAGACTGGACTAGGCCAAGATGACAGTCCTCAAATATTCAGCACGATTCAGACCTTCCTAGAGGCGCAGGGTCAGTGCTGCTCAACTCCTGCATCACCCCAAGCACGGACTTGGGGCAGGGGTACAGGACAGCACAGACCCCAAAGAAGCAAAACAGGGTGGTTTTGTCTTTTTTTTTTTCTTTTTTTTTTATGGAACCCAGCCCTTAAGGCGACAAGTGACTACACAAGGCAAATAAATACACAGCAGAGCCTTAAAGCCAGTAAAACAAACTGGAAACTTTGCTATTAGCCTTCAACTTTTTGAAAATAATAATAATAATAAAGGAAAAAGAACGTTTCTTCCACCTTCATTTTCCCAGCCCCATTATCCAGTTTGTTCAACACTTTAAAGCTCAGGAATGCCCCAGTTCTTCAGCAGTGGAGCTGGAGGCAATTCCAACTTTTGGCAAGCAATTGGGAGACTCAACAGAATTAAAAATAGGAACATCAGAGGACTAGATGTTGGGCACATCTGTAAACATGTTATGCATCTCAAAGTTACACACACCTGCAGAGGTGGTACAAGTTTATAGGTGAAACAGAACTATTTGTGACTGGCCAAGAACACATTTCTGAACCTGGACTGATACAATACATGATGACTATATAGTATCACACTCAGTATTATACTATATAGCTTTGGATACATCAAATGGAGTAGGCAATCCATAGTCAAATGTTTAAGCGTGGCAGAAAAGCGAGCGTCTTACACAAGGTACAGAATTTCAGTTTCATTGTCCCACCATGAACTCAAGTGTCTCATTCAGGAACAATCCTATTAAAAGTTTAAAAACAATTTAAAAAACCACATGCTACATACTCCTAAAAAAAAAAAAAAAAAAAAAAAAAAAAAAAAAAAAAAAAAAAAAAAAAAAAAAAAAAAAAAAAAAAAAAAAAAAAAAAAGCGATAGAATAATAGAATATTCTGAGTTGGAAGAGACCCATCAGGATCATCAAGTCCAACTGCTGGCCCTGTGCAGGACACCCCAAGAATCCCACCCTGTGCCTGAAAGCATTGTCCAAACTCAAGTTTGGTGCTGTGACCACTTCCCTGGGGAGCCTGTTCCAGTGCTCAACCACCCTCTGGGTGAAGAACCTTTCCCTGCTATCCAGCCCAACCCCGCCCTGACTCAGCTCCAGGCTATTCCCTGCCACTGGTCACAAGGGTGAAGAGATTGGTACCTGCCTCCCTGCTGCCCCTTGGGAGGATGCTGAAGACCACGAGGTCTCCCCTCAGTCTCCTTTTCTCCAGCTGAACAAACCAAGTGATCTCATAAGGCTTCCCCTCCAGACCCTTCCCCATCCTCATGCCTCCTTGGCATGCTCTCTAACTGAGGGTCTTTTTTATATTCTGGTGCCCAGAACGGCCCCAAGAACTCGAGGTGAGGCTGCACCAGTGCAGAGCAGAGCAGGACAGGCCATGCTGGGCCTGGTGCCCCCCAGGACATTGCTGAGCCCCCTGGCTGCCAGGGCACTGCTGACCCAGATCCAACGGGCCATGGACCAGGACCCCCAGCTCCCTTTCCATGGTGCTGCTCTCCAGCCTCCCAGTGCATCCAGGGCTGCCCATCCCAGGTGCAGAATCCAACACTGGCCCTTGTTAAACTTCATACAGCTGGTGATTGCCCAGCTCTAATTTGTTGAGGGCTCTCTGCCCTTGAGGGTGTCACCAGTTCCTCCCACTTTAGCACGTCAGCAAAATTAGTATCTCTTTGAGTCCTGAACCCAGGTTGTTAATGAGATGTTGGAGAGAAATGGGCTGAGGATGGACCCTGTGGGACCCTCTGGTGACTGGACAGCACACAGAGGGTATTCTAAAGTTTGGGGTTTATCTATTCCTCACAATGCCCCAGAGGGTCCAGTCTCATTTTAGGAGACACCAACTGCTGCCAATTTGGGGAGCCAGGATTAGGCCACCAACACCCATGATGAGCACTGGCTACATGGGGAGCTGGGGCTGGTCAACAAACCCATTCCTGCTTTATTTATTTCTTGCTCTTGCACTGGACCATGTGAACTCTCCAGCTCTAAAAAAATCCAGAAAAGCTACCCGACCCCCAGATGATTGGGACACATTACACAAGCTGCAATGGGACAGAAGGGTTACACAGCTGGAGCCTGCACTCTGCTCAGCCTTCCCTACCACTGGTAGGAAGCTTTCCTTTCCCTGGGATTATTTTTTTTTAAATTATTATTTTCATTCCTAAGTCCTCCATTTTTTTTTTTTTGTAATAAAATATATTTTTATTAAGAGATAATTAGAAGCAGAGCCCAGAAATACACAGACTGCATTAAAATATAAAAGAGCATTTCCAAGGGGCAGGAAGCCCAGCCATTGGCGTTCTATGGACAAATTGAAAAGGATTCAAATTCCCATTTTTTTTCTTTTTTTTTTAAACTTTTTAATTTTTTTTTTGTTATTTTGAAATTTTTTTAAAGAGAAAAAATAATTCAAGAAGGGTGAAAGTTAGCAGAACTCAATTCCTCTTCAGTTTTCCAATGAAAATGGGAAAAAAATCCAGCACATTTAGTGTTAGGAGACAGACAGAGCAAATATGAAGCACCTACAGTTGAAAGCAGAAGATACTTTTTTTTTGTCTTTTTTTTTTTCTTGCTCCCAGTAATACAATGGCATTAAACGGTGGGAACAGTGGAGGTGGTTTTTTTTTTTTGTTTTTTTTTTTTTCTCCATATTAAATGCCTAAACAGATTGCTTATTTTTCCATGTTGTCTTTTAAAATGAAATAACTCTTCAGTTGCAATAGTCCAACATGTAACAGGAGCCAGGTCAACTGTGTGACTTCACCATGCATCCTAGAACTGCAATATTACCATCTTTCCCTCAGCAGAATGATCCTTTTAAGACAATATCACCAGCATAGGATTGCTGCTTTACTCCTGGCAAAACATGCGGATTATAATTCTCTGGAAAAAAAAAAAAAAAGAAACTCTGCAAACTTCAAGGCGTTTCTCCAGCATTCAAGGGGAAAAAAATCAGGAAAAAAACCAAAAAACAAAAACGAAACCAAACAGGGGAGGTGGAAGGGAAAGAGGAGATGAAGGATGGTGAATCATCCTGATTTCCCTGTGATTAGTGTGTCACTACAGTCACAGAACAAGAAACAGAAACCTTGTCAAGTGGAAATGCCTCTCCAGTGGGTTGCTGTTGCCCATGTAGACGACAGCAGGAACTTTGAAACTGGGCTTGTAATTGAGTCTCTATTCCTTAATCACTTGCATTCACTCTTTAAACAAAAACAAAACAAAACAAAAATGAAAAAAAAAATCTATTCAGTACCGGAGATTAAATAATCACGTGTGTAGTCTCGTTGAAATAAATTTTCAGATTCCTTAAGAAGTCTAATTACTTTCAGTTGCCATTTTTAAATAACTATATATATATTTGTATATATTATCCTGTGATTCTAGTTATGGTTCCTCTGCTGCACTGAAGATTTAGAAGGAGCATAAAGCCTTTTTGTCCCCCACGAACAGCACAAATGCTGCAGAAAGGTTATAACAGGCAGTCTTGTCTTGCTACCTTCATTGATCCGGGCGATCCATGGCTTCATCATAAGTGATTATCCTTTTGGGATCTGGAAAGAAAGCAGAATCCTAAGTTTTGGACAAGCTACTTTCATCAGGCCCTGTGGCTGAAAATAAACATAAGGTACTTGGCTGTTAACAGACTTTTCCTTCAGGTGCCCCCCTCCTGCCAAGCCACCCCAAGGCCAGGTTGGCTCCCCCAGAGCAGAGCCTGCTCCCCACTTACTTTCTTTTACACACACCACATACAGCTCTTCCCTCATAAAATCTCCTCTCAGGTGACTGGTGGGGATACACCAGAATTTAAAACTTATTATTGGATGCGACACCCAACACCAGGAATAGAAAGCAATTTTGTGTACACGTAAGGAAGAGTCATTAAATCTAATTTGACACTAGATTTATCGCTCTTTTAGAGACTCTGCTTCTCTCCAAGCAGCTCACCATCATAGCAAAGCTTATTGTCCTGACTTTCAGTGATCTGAAACAGAGATAAATCCAAACCACAAACCCAGGCATCTCCAGACACAGCGACAGTCCACTCTCATTCCACCCCCTACCAACACACAGAGCAATTTGGTTCATTTATTCCTTCCAACATCCTTACCTTGCTTCTGCAAATTCCAAACCGCTTCCATTTCTGTGAAGGGAAAAGGAGATCACTGTTATTATGCAGATTGATGCTGCCATTAGAGACCACTCGAAACACATTTCAATTTTCCAAGTGTGGTGGTTGTGCTGGGGCTTTCAAACAGAGCCAACCTCCTCCCACCCAGCAGCACAGCCCCAGCCCAGCCCACAGGACTACACAAATTTGACATGAATAATCCAGCAATAAAAGGCAAAGGGATACTGTAAGATGGTCTTAAGGGTCAGAGAGCCAAGCTGAGCATCAGAAATGTCATCACCATTCACCAGTCCTACATATCACAATCTAACTTCAGGCTTTACTACTCTGACTCCAATGCTGCTTTGCACATTACAGCCTCAACAAGGAGCCTGGAGAGATGATTTTTACAAGCTGATGCTTAGTGAGTGTGAAATGAGAAGCACTGGACACAGCAAGCAGCATGAGTGTGCTGAGGCACCAGGCAAGGGCTGTGAACATCTCTCCAGAGCTGCTGCCAAATGCACTGTCCAGGAGCAAGGTGTGATGTGCCAAACACCTGGCCTGCAGTTCTTCTCACAGTTTACCTCTACAACACACTTGTAGGCTAAAGAGAAACTCTTCCCAATTCTCCCTGGACATGCACATACTTTTGTTTACCTAAGAAATAACAGCAAAATTAAATGTTCATTTCATTAACACTGAGAAACAGAAGGCTCTTCCCTTTAAAATATCCCCCAAACAAAGATGCATCTTTAGAGAACCATTCAAAATAACTACTTTGAGCTGCTATCACATTGGAATTTTGTAAGCTAGAATATTTTTTAAGATCCTGACTGTACCCTGGACCCAAGTTCAATAGATAAAATTACAGAAAATGAGTATTAGTTGGAACACAATCTTCCAAGAACCACTTTCAGGTCTCTTTTCTGCGAGAAAGGGTGACAGGACCTTGGCAGGGGCTAGGAAAAGGGAATGGCAAGAGATTATCAGGCAGCAAGGGATGTGTAATAAAGCACAAAATAAGGCAGTAAGTAAACTAACCAGCATAGGAAAGGAAGAAGAAAAAGCCCTACAAAACCCACGGCCTCAGCACGATGTGTGCCAAGTGTCACTTCCATCAATCGCTTCCCTTCTCCAACCCTTCATCTGTCCTTTGTCCCCTACAATCTCCAGCTCCCTGGGGCAGGAAATTGCATGCAAATAAATATTGCCAGCCCTCCTTGCACAATTAAGCCTTTTGTAAGGAAGGCCCCCCGACAAAATTTTACGAGGTCTGTTATTTTTGCTTCAGGATAGTAACAGCACTTTGCACTTCTATTGGGGAGCCCTAAGTGCTTTGGGAATAGTAGCAAGCCTCTAACACCCCAGGGACAGAAGCAGGCTGGCAAGAGACTGCCTCCCTCATCTGCCAGATGCAGATTCCCCTGAAGTAAAATGAACCAGCTACTAAAATTACCTCCCGTGGAGCGAGTTTTCCATTCAGTGCAGTTTGATGCATCATTTCCTAGCAGCTAAAGAACATCTCCCATTTTAACAGCTTTCCCCAAAGGCAGGGGGCAGAAAACTACTCTCAAGTTGTTGGTTCCTGCACACTAGAGCAATGCTTGAGCATGAAATACAAGGCAGAGCTGAAGCACCACCCATCACTATATGCCCATGCACAGAGCATTGTCTTGTCCACTTAATTTGGCCTTAACTGCTCTGGACACCACAAGAATGTGAACTCCATGTATTAAGAATACCTAACAGTAAGACAAACAGATATACAGATAATGCTAAGAACACACCAAAAATCTACTAAGTTGACAAAACTCTGTTCCAAAAAAGTCTAACAAACCTAAGCCTTTTCAGCCTTCAATCTCCCTTCTCCTCCTTCAGAAAGGGAGGGTGGTGTAAAGCATCCTGGAAATCCCAGACACCTGGACACACTGGCTGGCAGATGCTCAGCAGGACCAAGCCACAAAACCAAAGACCATCAGCAAACAGTGCAATAACAGCTCTTACTAAATATCACCTGCCATCAGCAGAGCAAGGTCCTCCCCTCCACCTGGCAGCACGGGGACAGGGGACAGCACAGGTTAAGCACACTGACAAAGTGAAACAACTTCACAAGGGAAAAGAAAGTAAGCCTTTGGCTAACTGCAACACAAAACTAAGGAAAAGGGGATTTTTTTCTATCTTAAAATGGAATTGTATTATTTATTCTGCTTTACTTGGTAATACAGTTAAGTTTTCCTGCCAGCTCGGAGGCTGTGAGACTGTGCTTGACAAAAGGCAGTGACAAATGCATGGCCACTGTCACAGGGTCACTTGGTGACTGAACTGGTGGACAGGCAGCTCAGCAGAGCCACTGCTGCCCAATGCCTGGCTCCAGCCAAGTAGAAGGAAAGACAGCCCCCAAGAACTGGGCATGCAAGAGGCCCCAAGCCTGCTTTCAGCCCTCCCTCTTTGGGCTCAAAGAGCTCTTTTCTTGAGCCTCTTTTCCCTGGATAAAGCTTCCAGAGCGAATTTAAGCAAAGGACTCCTACAGCTGCTCAGCCTGCATGAGAAAAAGGGGTATCCTCACCACCAGCCCAAGTCCAGGCTCTCAGATACTGCCCCAAAACTGGTGCTTTCCAAAGACCTGCCCAACAGGAGCCACCATTCCCAAAACCAGACGTGTGGCTGAGGAAACAGCAAACTTTCTTCTCAAGTGGACTCCAACCCAGCTGGAGGAAATGCCATCAACAAACCCCTTGCACAACTCAGCATCAAAGCCAGCCCTGCTCCAAGCCAGGGGCAGAACTGGGTCACCTCCTGTGCCCCTTCCAACCTCTCGTTTTCCAGGATATTATTTTTTTTACAATTAGCTTTTGGCTTCTCCACAGCCCTTTGGCTCGTGGTTTGCTGAGAAACTGCTTGGGGCAGACAGTCCCAGCCACATCCACCTACACCACTTTTTCTGGGGACTATCACTGAAACAAAGGGTCACTGGAGGAAAGCTTTGATGTCAGGAACAGACTAAGGCACACTCTGGTGAATTGTGTTGGGATTCCTCATAGGTCAATAAACTTTACAGCAGGACTGGTACATAACCTTGGAGGGGAAAGAAGTGTTTCTGTAATAACTTGCTAAGACACGTTTACACACATTTTCCTTTCTAGAGAGGCAGACCCAGCTAACAGAAGTGTCTGCACAATGTCATGCTACTATTTCACTGTCCTTATAAATCCCAAAATTGTCCCTAAAATACAACAGCAAAGAAATAACAAGAAGGGACCAGTCTTGTCTGATGCTTGCTGTTTGTATCTGCAGGACAATGATTAAGTATAGGGATTGCCCTGGAAACAAAGCAAAGAATAAGTATTCCATGCTGTGGAGACTCATGGCTGTAACAGCATACACTGTACTCATCCTGACAACTGGAAAGAGCATGGACTGGAAGGAGAATTAAATCAGCTTTTGCCCCACAGCTCAAGCCCCACAAGACCATAACCAACAGAGCGAGCTCTAACCCCTTCCCACCATGGGGGGGGATGGGAAACCAAGGCTTTTTTTTTCCCCCTCTCCTGATGTAAAGGATGAAAATTGCTGAATTCACAGCTCTGCTATTTCTTCTGACCCAGTTCACCATTCCAGCAAATGCCACTCCTGGCTGGCCCACGCTGCCTCGCTCTATTTTCCATGCTGCTCTCCTGCTTCTTCACGCGAGCAGAGATGCTGCTGCAAACAAGATGCTGAGGAGGAAACAAAGCAGCAGCACAGGCAGAAATTCAGGGGCAAGAACAAGGGAAACCCTGCAGTTCCCTCTCCTCCACCCATGTGGTCTTCGCTGCTGTGCAGCTGAGCTGGAGGCCTCAATTATTTGCTTTTTAGCTCAGGACAAGCAAATTACTGAGCTTCCCACCACAAAGCTTGCCATCTAGAGCTCAGTGTTAGTGACAGCTTGGCCTGGGAGACTGCAATTGCCTGAACATGACAAAATTTTCCAAAGTGTTGACAATTATTCTGATATGAAGTGCTTCATCCAGCTGTCTTTAAAAGAAGGACTAAAGCAGTAACAAGATGCTGATTTTGATGCAAGTAAAGATGACATAACACTCAACCTCCGTATCTGAAAGACCAAAATATCTGCAAGAATCAGTTTTACCTCAAAAAGATACAGATTTTGGCAATGCCACACCATTGCAGAAGTTCAATTTCTAACCTAGACAGGGGACAATGACTTGAAATGAGAGCACGACTCCTTCCCGGGCCTTCCAGTCGCCCATGTGAAGCCCATCCCTGTCTCCAAGCACACCCAGAGCAGGCCCACCAGTGCTGAGCTAAATCAGATCTCCCTTGGTAAATCAGATCTGTCACTCGTGAGTGTTTCAAGGCACCATCACAACCTCCAAGCAGCACAGGCTGTCGGTGAAAGCAGCCACATTGAAGGATCATGTTTTACACTCAGGCACATCAGATGATCAAGGGAGTCTTTCTGTCCTTTGAACAGAGGGGGGGAAAAAAGGAAAGAAGCAAGGCATGAAGCAGGGCTACAAGGAAACCAAGAGGAAAAGCTTCCAAGAAGAACAAGAGAGTGCAACATCATCCTTGCCTAAATGTTCCCAGTGCTGTGACTTCTGGAGAAAAGGCAGCCAGGGTACAGGCAAAAAACAGAAGAATCATCCACCAGAACCTCGCTGTGCCCTGCAGCCACCCAGCCTCGCCAGCACTGGGGACACACTGGTGAGCTACAGGAGCACTGTAGCAGAGCCAGTTCTCTCTGGGTGCCACCTCCTCTATCATCTTCCACAGGGAAGCTGTGAAGCAATTACAGTTTATAATGTCCTGTGCAGTTGCTGGGCAAACCACGCACAGGAAAGCCTGGTTTGCTGGAACAAAGCTACTGAGTAAGCTGGAGGCTTTCCCAGAGAAATTTACAGTCCAGGATGAGGATCCACACAACCTGGTCACAATTGCAGGCACAAACAGTGCAAGAAAGAATGCACATTTGTGACATTCAAAGCACTGCAACCACTCACATTACAGCTCATTCTTCTCTGCAGCCCCCAGAGCTTCATCCTTGCCTTAAAACACTGCACATGGAGCTCAGGGTAGGGAACACACCAAGACCCCACAGTGCTTCACACTCACCCCTGTCCTTTTTTCGTTTCTCTTTGTGTTCATAACCCCAAGGGCAGGGCAGATGCAAAGATCAAACTACGGAGACTTTGCTCAGCAGCAAACAGATCAATCTGAGAGGGAGAAGTTCATGTGACTCTCAAACTCAAAACCAAACAGTCTGAGGACCCGACTGCCTGGAATGCCCTAACACCAACCCAGGCAAACCCACACGCTTGCCCGAGCAAAAGAGGAAAAGGCAGCTTGTGAAAAGAAACCGAGTGAAATCGCTCTTTTCCTACTGCAGAGGAACTGGCTGGCTTGGAGCTGGACCTCAGGAAAACAGCCCAAGATAAACGGAGAGCTCAGTGTGGGAATTAACCCCCGCGCCGCTGTCCTGCAAACACAGCCCGCAGCTCTCGTTCTGATGCGGGCTCTGCTGCAGGACCTTGGCCATGAAGAGAGGACAGGAGACACAGTCACTCCAAACATCCCTTAACCCAACTCATCCCAAGGATGAAATGCAACACCCACCACCATTATGGTAGTACTAAGAGCTGGACTGATTTCTCGCTTTGTAAAGCAGCAATAGCTTTTGAACACTGAACAGGAGAAAGACAAGCCCAAGGTGTTTGGAGCACCTCATCACCGCATTAATGACAAAGCTGATTAGAAAGAGCCATCATCTTTTACCCCTAAGTAACATCCTGAAGATGGCACATACATAACGTGAAAAAGAAATAAGCAGAGATGAGTGCTGGGGCAGGACCGGGTATCCCCAGGCTATCACGAGGGTGTTTGCTCAGGATGCTGAAAGCAAGGCCATTCACATGCAGAAGAAGAGCAGAGAACAGTATTTTAACGGGTGCTTTAAGTGGCCATTCTTGCCAACAAATGTAATTAACTCCTGTGTTTAGAAGAGCTCAAGGCAGCCAGGCTTTGAAGTTAACACCTCCTCGAGAGGACATGGGATGGGAGTGTTCTTTATTTTCCTGTTGTTTCTATTGTTTCACTGAGGTCTGCCTTTCACAGCAAGTGAGAATGGGAGAGCTGATGATCCTTGCTGGCAGCACAATTGCTTCTCCACAAGTACAGGCTGACAACAGAGAGGCAAACAGAAGTCTAGGGAATATTTGCAAAATTAAGAAAAATATCACCGAGGGTTTTCTTCCATGTTATGTTTTCTGATGGGAAGCTGGGATTTAAGCAGCAAGAAGACAAAAAATGAGACTAGAAAGCCTGTTTTAATGCTGGAATAAACTGAGCAGAAGGGAGAGGACCCAGATAAAATCAACTGATGAACACTGTTCTCAAGAATACTAGAGCTTGAAATGTTAACATCTTGAGAGGGAGATGACCTGGAAAAAATATTTGGAGTTATTATTTTTAAATGACTGGACTTGTTATTATTACAGGAAGGCATTCGAGTTTATGCCATACAGAGTTTGTGAAGTGGTAATTCAAGAACTTTGCAGTGGGTGAAAACAGCAAATTTGCCAAAGCCAAGTAAGCCACCCTCTGCAGAGGGGAGCAAGACACTGTCCCCATATGCACGTGGAATACTAAAGGAAAAAGGATGATCACATTGTTCCCTTCAGGCTAGAGGGGCACAGGGAGAGGGAAGGGGGTCAAAATAAGGAACTGCCCCAGTGCTGGTCAAGAGTGAGTAAATAACACTGTGACAAAAGGGAACACACAACCAGGCCCCTGCTAACACTGAGCCAGCACCAAAAGCCAAAAACTGCCTCAAGTCCTCAGAGCTTCTGGGGCTGAGGCTAAAGCAGAAAGCAAGCCGTGCCACAGGCTTCCTTCTCTTCGTTCCCATTTTAAAGAGTCTGTGTCGTGTTTGAGTCATTTCAATCTCAAAAAAAAAAAAAAAAAAAAACCACAGGAAAAAAAGGGAGCTGGACTACAAAGGACTCCATGAAAGCAACAAAATCATCTGAAAGATGTGGCCTACAAAGACAAGGAGAGAATTCAATCTGCAGCTCACAGAGGAGCTGATAAGAAAAGATTGGTCTTGCTGTTGCCATAATACTCAAGGGCAGGGAAAAAGTGTGTGTGGGGCACACTTAAAAAATAAATCACACCTACAGTTGTAGGAATAATTTTTTCTTCCTTCAAAGCCATGATTTCACGGTCTGATCTGCCCAGGGGAGAAGCTGCAACACTTTGGTGGCAGAGGTGTGAGTACAGACCATGAAGTCTTCACAGCGATAGAATATCACCTGGTACAGCTGGAACAGAGCAGCTGAACCTACACATTTAACTCCTTCCAATGCCAGTGGCTCACGAGGACCTGCTAAGTATCATCTCTCTTAACATCACTCATGCTTGTCCACGGGAACAGGGAAACAAATACCTCTTAACATTAATTAAACAACCCTTTGAGTAACTTCCCCAGACCGTTATTGCCATGGGAGGATATGCAAGCAAAGAAAAGGGTCATTTTAAAAGCAATTAGAATTGCTGGAAGGAACATACCATGTTAGAATATTGCACTACTAAAAATAAAATAAAAAAAAAAAAAAGAAGGAACATACCATGTTAGAATATTGCACTACTAAAAATAAAATAAAAAAAAAAAGAGAGAACGCCCTTAGGCAGCAAGTTAAGCCATTACCTTTAGTGTGATATAGAATAGCAGCCCTCAGGTCAAAAGAACCCCAGCTATCTTTCCTTTCTAGGCCTCTCTGGTACCTCTGTTCTTTGGCGGAGGCTAGCAAATTGTTCGTAGGAGAGGCCAGAGGATTCTCTACTTCATAGTCTTTTGAAAGAAACACTAAAGCACCTTGGCTACCGGTGTCTGCCTTTTGTAGGTCACCTGTGTGATGCGACTCCAAAGCTAAGACACCGCCCTCAACAGCAGTCCCAGGCTTAAGAACAGCACTAAGAATTTGAGGGCTAGTCCGTTTATCCAGCTCATAAGCCTTAGGAAACACAGGTTGTTCAGTTCCTGAGGGAATGATTTCAGCACACTGTGAAACCAAAGTGGCAGGATATTCCCCTTGAAATGTCACTTCCATTAACTGATTATCCGCAGATTTCCCCACAACGGTTTCAGGTCCAGCACTGGGCTCATTTATGAAAGACAAGCCCCACTGATTCTGGAAGATATCCCCCAGGTTCTGCTGATTCGTCTGGGAAGGGAAATCGACTTGCGCTGTCCCCAGGAGCACAGTTTGCATATTTGAAGGGTAGATAAAAAGGCCAGATTTCTTTTGTTCGAGGGCTGTCGAAGCTGTACTCATGTCCTGGGGTACTGACTCGGAGGAGGAGGTCGATGGGACAGTACTAGCAGCAGTGGAGAGCAGTGGCTGGGCCCCTGGGGAATACACACTTCCATCGGTCCCCGCGAGGATCGGCCCGTTCGAGAAGCTGGCAGAAGTGACAGATTTCATAGCAGACATGGGGACTTGGGACAGCCGACTTGATGTTTGGGCCTGAGTTTCCCCAGCAGATGATGAAGACGATGAGGATGATGTGGATGACGTGGATGGGGTCTGAGCTGCTTTGTTGAGGTTTTCTTTAACTTTACTTGCATAACTAATTTTGGGAACAATTTTAGCACTGCTATTGTCCACTGGAAAAACTGGGGGTGGTTTAAATAAGGTCCATGAATCCTCTTTAGATGTAGCCGACGATGCATGCTTCCCTTTGGGCCGGTCATCAAACTTCTTGCTGCTAATCCCAGGTTTGGCATCAGAGTTTTTCCTCGGTACATCCCCGAGCCCAGGCTTTCCTCGGCCTGCTCCACCAGCCCCAGCCTCATATTTCCAAACAGGCTTCGTATTTTCAATTCGGTTCCCCTTTTGTTCACTATAATCAGGCTTGAAACTCTCAAGTTCCTGTTTCAAGGCTGGTGCGCTGACCTCCTGCTGCATTATTTTGTCCTGTACTAGATTCAAGTTCTCACAACCCTTGGCACTGTTGCGCCTGCCTTTCCGTTTTTTAGGTGTAGTATATCCACTCTCGGAGCCACTACCATCGTTATCGGCCCCTTTGCCTACGTAGCCATTTGTGATGTAGCTGGAATTATTGGTTACCACGCCGTTTGGAATAGACACTCCCTCTGGCTTGTCCGAGGTCTGGTTTTCTCTGTGTTTGTTTTCATAGGACTTTTCATTCTTTTTGTCCATGCTATTTTTCTGAATGAAGTTCTTGGTTTTGATTCCAGCTTTCCCCAAAGCACTGGCCTTCACAGTCTGCTTTGGGGTGACATTAGAATCTACAAGCTGCTGGCTGCCATTGGGTACCCTGGATCCTGGGGCGGTGGCTTCATCAGAGCACAGGCCCTTTAGTGACACTTCTCGTTCTCCTGCGTTACCATTTAGCTCTCCGTAGCCTAGAGGGAAGCCAAAAACAGCAAAAGGCAAGAATTAGAATGTGAAATGTTAGACTTGTCATTGCAGAAAGCTGTAGTCAGCCCCAAACATATCCAGTTTCCTCACGCAGACATTTTAAAATAGGAAAATATCTAGTCTCTGAGGTAAAGCTGCATAAATTTATTTGCTGGAACCCACAGCAAGAAGGGTTAAGCAAGAAGGACCAGCCATGACTGATTCTCGCATAACTGAGTGACATACAGATAACATAACAAAGCAAAAGAAAATACAGATACTATGCCAGAAAAATATACTGTACTGAAAATCACTGGCAAGCTGGAGAGTTATTTCATCAGCTACTATTTCCAGGTCAGAGAGAGGAAAAAATTAATTCCCAGGATGCTTCAAGACAGCGGGATCCACTGCCTTTCTGACAAGATCTGTGGAGGTTCAGGATACACACTGCGAACAAGGGACAACTCCTACCATCTCCATCACCTCCTGGGCCCACGACACCAGCAGTCCTCCTTCCCACCCTCCTCCCAAATGCCATCTCAGTCAAGGGATGGGAAAAAAAAAAAAAGCACAGTATTTGCAAAAGGACCCGTGCAAGTTCAGCTGGAAGATGGAGGAAAGAAAATGTGGCCACATCTCCTCCCTGCATTTTAAGATAGCGACCAGCACCTCCCTACACATGTTCCTTGGCACTGAAAAGTGACAGAAGTAAGAAATGCATCCCTGCAAGTGCCCTTCTGCTGCCACCAGCAATGGATCTCTTGGCCACTGAAAAAACTTGTATTTCAGAGTCCCCAGGAGAGCTGGTATGAGCCTGAGACCCAAGAAATATAGCACCTGCTGAGGGCTCCAACTCACAAAGCCATGAGATTGTGCTGCAGACTGAGCTTTACTCTTCCCATCTGAAGTTCACTTCCAGGCCTCATGGTTCTGGAGAGTGCAATTCAAGCAGAGCTGGAAGCCCAGGACAGTCCACACTGAACCACCCCAACTTCCTCTTTGCTTTCTCCTTTTCAAGCATCTCTGGCCAGAGGCCTGCTGCTTTCGAGGACCCTGGCTAAAACCCCAAGGGAAGCCCTGGAGCCCCAGTGGGACACAGGGAGAGCACACCGTGCCCTGCTCGACAAATACACTCCAGCTGCAGAGGGATTCCTCCTGCACCCGCCGCTCCTCTGACTCATCCCTCCTCCTTCCGAGGCTGGAAAGCCTCACATCCACATCCCCCACAACCACTGACCCACCTAAGGCTCCATCTGCAGCCACGGTGGCACCGAGTCAGCACAGAGAGGGAGTCCCTCAACAACTGGAGCGGGCAAAACTCCAGCTTGGAAGAAGAATGTTTTTGTTGTTTGCTGATGTTGTTGAAATTAACTGCTGTAACTAAAAATCGTTGTTACCCTCACATCCTGGAGCATCAGATGTCTGGCAGATGTAACAGCTCAAGTTCTGTGCAAGTCGGGAACACAAGAATCCTTGTAGGAATCTTTACAGAAATTCCACAACTGAGTTTGCCGAGGGGGATCAAAAAGGATTTTACTACATGCAAGTATCTGTAACCACCACAACTTCCACTATAACTTTCAAATATGTTGTTAAGAAAATTAACTGCAAATACTTCGCCCCAGAGAGAACTAGAACGGCGGGATCCTCTAAAAAATTAGTATTTCAGAATAGCATGAAGAGGAAGCCCTCTCAAGAACAGTGTTACAGCTGACCTTGTATGACTCAAGACTTCTGACACCACTTGTTAATGAAACAAAACAATAAAGAGTGGTCATAAGACCACTGCAGATGAGGAGTGAAAGAATAAAATGAAGAACAAAATCCATTTCACTAAGTCAGTGTGTCAGCAGTTTCTAGTTCCAATTCTCAAGCATTCACAGCTCAGCTGCCTGAGTTTTCTCCAAATCAACATTTGGCACAGCGGGCCTTGGCCTGGACACGGAGGTGCAGCAACCAAAATTCAGGGGAGAGGAAAAAATCCAGGATGGTAAGAAGAACAGGTGAAGAGGATCTGGCAAGCTCACAAACCGTTTCAGAGCTGGAAAGGGAGGGGTGCCAGCCTAGGCACATATTAAAACCCTGGGCACGCTGCAAACAGTGAAATGACTTCTCAACTTATTTTTGCTCGGTAACTTATTTTGGCGTGTGCCCCATCAGGTCCCTCCCTGCCTGCCCAGGCTGCACATGGGGCACTGCTGACCCCGCTCCGCTGCTACCAGGCCCCCTCCCACCTCCCGCCTCGTTATGTAAAAGGAAAATTCAAGGGAAATAAAAAAAAAAAATTGTACGCGGCACTCCGGCCGGCTGGTGGCCACGCACTCGCCTTGACCCCGCACAAACCCCCCCAGAGGGACTGCTGGAGCCGGGGAGCCCGCAGGAACGCGGCGGGGGCTCGGCCCTGCCAGGGACCGGCTCCCCCCGCGCCGCTAACCGGACACCGCCTCTGCGGCGGCCCGGCACGGCCCGGGGGCCGCAGCCCCGGCCCGGCGGGGAGGAGGCGGCCGAGCGCCCGGGCCGGGCAGGGCCGCGCCGCCTCCCGCCGGCGGCGCCGGGCCGGGCCGCGCCGCCGGCTCTGACGGATCGATCCCGGCGCTCCCCCATCGCCCGGCCGCCCCCGCGGCCCCGGGCCGGCCGGCGGCGGCGGCGCGGCCCGGCCCCACGTGCCGGCGGGCGGCGGTGCCGGCGGGCCCGCGGCTCCGCAGCCCCAACATGGCGGACAGGAAGCGGCCCCAGCGCGGCGGAGAAGCTTCGAGCCGGGCCGGGGGAGGCGGCGGCGGAGGAGGAGGAGGAGAGGGGGCCCCCGCCGCCGCCCCGCGAAGGTCACGGGCCCCGTCCCGCTGCCCGCTCCAACCTGGTCTCCGCTTCGGCGCCTCCGTGTGCTGCGGGCCGCCGTGCTTGTGCTCGTGGCGGAGCGGCGGCTTAGGCTGGGCTCGGCCGTCGGGCGGCGGCAGGTAGGCGCTCTGCGGGTGGTGGTGGTGGTGCCCGTAGTAGTAATAGTGGTGGTGGTGATGGTGGTGGTGGGGCTGCTCCTCCATGGGGGGCGGCTGGCGGGGCCGGGCCGGGCTGGGCGCTCGCTGCTGGGCCGTGCGGCTCCGGCGCGGGGACGCGGCTGGCGCGGGGGAGGCGGCGGACTGGCAGCGCCCGCCCTGCAATCAGCGAGCGGCGCCGCCGCGCCCGCCCCCCGCCCCGCCCCGCCGCACCGCGGCCGGGGGAGAGCCGGCCCGGCCAGCGCGGGCCCGCCCGGCCGCCCCCTCCCCGGGCCGGCGGCAGGTGAGGCTGCCGGGGGCGGGCGCGCTTCGCCCCCTCCCCGTGCTAGCGCGGAGGAGCCAGAGTGAGCGGCCGCGGCGGGGTCGCCGCCGTCCCCGGCCCTCGCCGTTGGCGCGGAGGGGAGCGGCGTGCGGCCCCGGGGGGGGGTTTCACCGCAGGGTCACCGGCAGGACGGCGGCCCGGGATGCCGCCAAGCCGCGTTTTGCCGTCATGAAGCGGGTGAACCCCCCACCCGGGGCAGGCGGAGAGGGCTGGAACAGCCCCAGCGGAGGGGAGCTGGGCAGGGATGTGAACACCGTGAGCAGCCGGGCTCCCAGCAGCAGCCGCGGGAAGCGCGGAGCCCGGCAGCAGCAGCGCCCCGAATCGCTGCCGGGCCGAGCTGCAGCGCTCCCGCGGCAGCCGGAGCTCACCCGGCTCCAGGGCTCCACCCGCAGCCAAGCGGGAGGACCCGCCGCTCCCCGCACGGACCCACCACCGGCCGTGCCCAGCACCCGGCCAGCCCGAGAAAGGTGGGCTCAACAAATGCGCCTGTCCAGCTCCGAGGGAAGCACCGGAGATTTAACTGATGCTTAACAAAAATCAAAGGTTGATGGGGAAGCCCGAGAGTGTAAGGAGGAGAACTCTTGAAACTTGACAGAATTTGCAACAGATTTCATACCATTTCAATCTGATTATCCTCACTTGAGCATGTTCGGCAGGGGGTGATGACAGCTAAATGACCTGAACTCCCACCTCTGCTCCAGCCAGCCTCCACTGCAGGAAGAGCAAGACATTCAAATGCTGTTCCCGGATTCCTCCCGGATTCCTCCTCAACACCAAGGCCCAATTCTCCAGATAACACTGAGACAAAGGGTTTTGGGTTGTATGGATCAGTGAGGAACTGAGACAGGAGTTAATTAGGAATGTAGGAAAAGGGCAGAGGGAATGGAGAGACCCACAACTGACACAGGCTGGAGACAGAGGCGGAGTCCTGCTCCAAGTTATTTGCTACTCTGGTGTGATTAATGGCCCCCAAATAGTCCCAATAGTGTGCACTGCAGCAAACAGGGAGGAAAAGTGACAAAATAAAATGTGTTCATGTAATTAAAGACTGTCACAATTAATGTGTGTAATATAAATGGGCTCCACAGATAGTCCTGAAAATAGTATGGACTCGCTTCTCAAGTCTTTTCCTTGCAGCTTAATGCTCTGTTCTATTTTTTCACTATTCTAATGAGCAAAATTAATAAAGTTCATGTGTCTAGAAAAGCCCTGTCAGACTTTGGCACTGTACAAGAGCCCTCATCTGGAGATTTTACAGTTCCCAAGCCTTATTTTAAGAGAACACAGTTGAAAGTTTATGCCTCAAACAGAACTTCCCACTTCACGCTCCTCTTTACTACATAGGAGGTAAAGCTTTTCCTTACCAGAAATACCAACTTCAACATTAATACAGAGGGTTTTTTCAAGATTTGAGGTGCCTGAAATATCACAAGCTCTCTGCCAAATCATTCCTGCAGTTTACATTTCTTTCAGCACAATGCAAAGCCATTTAAAACTGATGAAACTATTTAAGCAAGCAATGATGAACTTTGGGCTTTACTCAAACAATAACGGTCCTGGTCCTTTCAAACGCTGACTCATTCAGTGACCTCAGAGTGCTTAAGAGACAAGTCTTAAAATGAGGAGTCAGGCTTTAATCACAGATGACATTTTATTGGTGGCTTGGAAGAATTTATTTTTAATATAGGGAGCTGGCTTGAAGATTTAAACTTCAAAAGACTCTGAGGAAAGCAAACAATTATGGACAAATCATCTCCACACACACAGACCAGAAATCTGAATACAGAGGAAGGTGGGCTGTCTCTTTGTGAAAGACAAAGCTACTATGTCACTGCTTAGAAGTATCATGTTATCAGTATTATATTATCTAAAGCTTGCAGAAGAGAGAAAAATAATCCAAAATAATACAGCCTGGGGTTCATCACCTGGCACCCCAACATGGTGTGTCCACACACAGTGGGCCTGCCCCACTTCCACTGATTCCACAAGGATGCATTTTAAAGGTAAGAGCAGTTCCAGCAGGCAGTGTTGCCCTGTGGCCATGCTGGGACACATCCCCTCCAGAAGCAGTAGTTTCTGTTAATCCCAGTGTTTGCCCATTGTTGCACCAGTTGTAATGTGTATTAATATTCAACAGTTCTTCAGGATGTGTTCTCTGGAAAGGGAAGCTGGAGATTTCCGTGTCTGCTCATTTGCAGCAGTTTTCCTTCTTACTGCTCTTTGGCAAGCCAGCAAAGAGGCAATTTTCCTTGGAATTCCACACCCAGTGCCAAGTATTCCCACATCCAGGCACAAAGCTGGGCACAGCCAGTATAATTTCTAACTCAGTAATTTATTCAAAGCTCTGTTTTATGAAGCTTTGAAGTGGATGGCTTTGCAGAGAACCTGCCATTTAAAGCTGGAAAATTAAGGCAGCAAGGAATGAATCAACTGCTACAAGAATCATGAGAAAGTTTTCCTGCAGAGTCTGACCCGGGATAAATTTTGTGTTCATATTAAAATGCAGTTAAACTGAGAAGCTATTGAAGTTATTTTTTCAAGAACAATTTATTTCCTTTCAAAGGCAAACCTCTTTTAAAAACTACATTTAGTTCCCATTAATTATTTTCAGGTAAATTAGAACTGAAATTATAAAATTAATCCATGAAAAAAATAAAATGCTTGCTTTGTAGTATTTCATGTGTCTGTCTCCTGTTTAAAACTCAGAATTGGGAAACACCAAAATTACCATATTTATAGATATTGGGATGGGCTCTTACACAAAGTATGTGTGGCATTTATTTACATTTTTTGCCACAGTGTTTTCATTTATAGCAGGGGTTCAGACTTGCAAAATTCTCCATATTCCAACACATCCAACTTAAAGCACTCCAGCCGACCTTTAGTTCCAAGCAGGATTACAACCACACTGTTCAAAACCTTGCCACGTTTGGCTGCTGGCAAATAATGTGTTTCAGTACAAGGCAGTTGGGATTTACCAGTTGATATTCAAGTGTTGGAATCTCAGAATTAGTTCTCAGAAGCAGTTTAGTCAAGATGGATGACAGGGTAGGAGAGCTGCTCACAGCCTGACCACAGCTATTCTCACAGAGCTGCTGCAGTTACATTCAGGTAAGGAGGAGCTTCTCCTTGACTCCATTTTTGTACTCTGCTGTGTACATTATTTATAGGTACAAAGCTGGTCTCTTTAAAGACTTCTCTCTCTAGAGGCAGCTGGATAGTAGGCATTGGGTTAGAGGTCTTAAAAAGCAGCAAAACCCAAAAAATTAAAAAAGGATTTAACCTCCTAGCTGAATTGTAAAAATTGTAAAAAATTCACATTTTACTCATCCTTCCCTTCCTTAGCAATTTAAGCATTTCCACCTCAGCACATGCTGAATTATGATTTTTTTCCTAAAAGCTTAGTTTCCAAATGTCATAAGCACACTATGCTAATCCTTCATTCACTCTCCAGAAAATTAAGGCAATCCAGCACCAAAAATAACCATAGGGTATAGTTTTGTGAGGCAGCAAAACTGACGTAATGGCTGCTCCCAAAAGGGAAGGTCATCTCTCCCTGCCCTGCCCTCACAGCAACGCTGCTGCTTCTCAGAGCCCATTTGAGAAATTAAACTAAAAAGTAATTCTTCAGATGGAAAAGTGCACATTTTTATTCTGGTTAAGCTTCCTAAACTGTTTCACAGAGGAGCCAGACAAATTTTAACACCCTGAAGAATGGGCTGTCACTACAGCAGCTCAGGAGTTGCCTTCCACAGCCAGCCTGGCTGCAGGGATGACCTTCTGGGAATTGGGCAGCGGGGACACAGCTGGGGTTGCAGCCACTTAAGCCATCTAATTTTATTTTGCTCGTATTTGTGAGTCAATCCCCTTGAGTGGCCAAAGAAGGATGGCGTGACCATCCTTCAAAGTGTTTTGAGCAAGCTGTAACAGAATGGCTGTAACCAGTGGGACTTCTGGTGGGTTCATCCATTGTTTAACAAGACTAAATCCAAGGATCATCCCTGTTGTAAAAACACTGAAGTGTTCACACAGGCATGAGTAACATCTGCTGCCCATATCTGCATGCAAAATTGTTTACTAGAGTGCAACAGTATAAACTGGAGACAGCTTCTTGGACACATACAAGAAGCAGAATGGGAAGCAGGCTAGCAGGCTGGCCTCAGCCACAACTCTTATCATTACTTCTCTGGGATTTCAGAGAATCCTGGCTCTCAGACAATTCTGGATCTCCTCCTGCTTCCTAGGATCATCACAGGGACCACAGAGAAATCCAGACAAACACCTACCAAGGTGCTCTTGCACAAACTCCCCTGCTGTTAGAACCTGAGGCACAGGCAGTCCAGCCTGACTTACACAGGGAATTGTATCGGTCACTGCTTGCAGTGGACTTTGACCTCTGGAAGACAAATGAAAAAAAGCTCAATCCACAAATCCCAAGCACTTTTTATCTTGTTATACAACACAACAGTCACAAGGCTGCTAGTCACATTTCATTCTCATTCCATTTGGACACCAAACAGTTATTTTGAAACAGGAAATTAAAAAAAAGTAGTTTTTAAATGTGGGTTGGCTATGTCTGCATTTGGTATATGGAGACTCCTCTGCTTGTGTTTGCACCCAGGATCTCCAATTTAACAACGCTCAGCACTGACAGAACACCAGATCTGGAGCAGTTATTGTTTGAGTTATTACTGTGACTGCTGCTTCATTATGTGACACAGGGTAATGATGGTTGACTACAAGATTAG